CCCCAGCAGTACTGCCTTCAGCTCTGGGGTCCTCAGCACAAGAAGGACATGGACCTGTTGGAGCGACTCCAGAGGAGGCCACGAAGATGATCAGAGGGCTGGAGCACCTCTGCTATGAGGAAAGGCTGAGAGAGTTGAGGTTGTTCAGCCTGGAGAAGAGAAGGGTCTGGGGAGACCTTAGAGCAGCCTTCCAGTACCTAAAAGGGGCCGACAAGAAAGCTGGAGAGGGACTTCTTACGAGGGCATGGAGTGATAGGACAAGGGGCAATGGCTTTAAACTGGAAGAGGGAAGATTTAGATTAGATATTAGGAAGGAATTCTTCACTGTGAGGGTGGTGAGGCACTGGCACAGGTTGCCCAGAGAAGCTGTGGATGCCCCATCCCTGGAAGTGTTCAAGGCCAGGCTGGATGGAGCTTTGAGCAACCTGGTCTGGTGGGAGGTGTCCCTGACCATGGCAAGGGAGTTGGAACTAGATGGTCTTCAAGGTCCCTTCCAACCAAACCGTTCTATGATTTCTACTGAACATCAGTTTGAAAGGTATAACACATCTGCAGAGAAGCTCTGCAAGCTTGGAGCCTTTCACCCTGAGCAAGCTGTGTGGCAAGGGACTCCAAACACCGAGCAGAGAGCATACGGGTTTTCACGAATTTTCTGGCTGTATTTCATTGAAAATGCAATCACCCTAGGAGTCTTCCCTTCAGAAACCTGAGTTTGACAGACTGGCATTCTCTGATTATTTTTTTTCCCATCAAAAATTACTCAGCTAGCTCTAATCAGTGCTGAAGAGGGCTGAAAGAGCCTACAGTGCTATTTATAGTTTGGTACCTTTCTTATTTAGGAGTAAGAACACAGTACTTTACATTCCTTTTAACATAAATGCACACTATTGTTATTTTGATGGAAAGGTCAATGAACTAGAGAGTGTGCTTTAAAAAATATTTAACTTACCTAACATTTCCATTCTCTGAGCTTTAACTGTCTCTTATTTTTGTTTTGATGCTTGTAATGTCAAACATTAACCTTTTAGATGAAAATTTTCCATCCCAGTTGTCTATC